ATATGGAGTAGTCCATCTTAAATGTGAGGGATGACTGAAACATCACATGGCACCTAGTGGTATTTGGCAAACAATTAATTTGACCCAGAGGTAGAACAATCATCACAACATTTACATGCTATGCAGTATTTCAAATCCAGCAAATCACTATCCACCACATTGATGTTGAATTCTGGGTTTATTATTAATATCTATTTTACAAATATACTTATGAATACAAATATGTCCACACTTAATCCCAGGTTGATACTAATTTAAGCCTACCTGGGGACTTTGGGAAATTATTTGGTTTTGATTGTTTTTTCTTTGCTTAAAAGGTTTCCATACATTCCTCAAAGTTTACAACATGGCAAACACATCTGACCACACAACGAAAGACTGCTCCTCCCATCTAAAAATTTTAAACATAATCCCAAGCAAAAATCAATCCATCTTTAAGCTATAGAATAGTCAACTAAGCCACTATTTTAGAAATGATGAACATAGCAACTGCTAAACAATCCACCACACGATCTCAACTTGAAGAGGACTTTCAACGCAATAAACATATGGCCCTAATGTTTAAAAAAATACAATTCAAGAAATGTTATTAGAAGATAAACCATATTAGCAGTATCTATTAGATAAAGGCAAATTTCTAAATTATAACTTCATGAATTATATTCAAATTCTACTTCTGATATGTTCTTTCTTTAACAATGACATCTGCAGAGGTGTTTTTTATTTGTTTTTGTGGGGGCATTAGAGACAGTGCTTACTCCTGGCTCTATAATCAAGGATCAATCCATGGCAATCTTGGAGGATTGGTCCACAGAATCCATGAAATTATAATTTCTATAAATTTGCCTTTATCAAATATATACTACCAATTTTGGTTTATCTTCTAATAACATTTCTTAAATTGTATTTTTTTAAACATTAGGGTCATATGATTATTGAGTTGAATAAATATATGACCCAAGACAATACAGAGGTTTTATATAAAATTTTGGAATTCTAGATAGCTTAATTTGTCTACACATACTTCTATTAAATATAGGTACACTAAAAATATTTTCGTAGAAAGGAAATGTGCTATTTAACTTAAAACCAGCTTAAATTTAAAACAGGATTTTGTATAAAAATAATTAAGCAATAAAGATGGGAAACAAACTTGGAAAGAGGTTAACTATGCTGTGCATGATAGCAATCAAATAAGCAAGCATAATGTAGTTCCAATCATTTGCTTTCAACAAATCCTTTACTTTTCATAAAATTTCAGTCTGTGACAAATATGCGTGAACAACTTACTGCAACATTGTAGTGTCACCATAGAAACCAACCAAAGGTATTAATCTTTGAATCTCATGAATAAGCTATGAATTAAGCTAATTCTCAAAAACAATATTATCCAGACAATTTGTTTTTTTTTTTTTCTCTTTTTTTTTTATACAATGATCAAACACCCATCCCTCCACCAGTGCCCATTTTCCACCACCACGGGTCCCAGTATCCTTCCCACTCCCTATCCCCCACCCCACCCTGCCTCTGTGGCAGGGTATTTCCTTTTGTTCTCTCTCTCTCCTTCTGGGTGTTGTGGTTTGCAAAAGAGGCATTGAGTGGCAATCATGTTTGGTCTATAGTCTACTTTCAGCATGCTTCTCCTGTCCTGGGAGGATCTTCCCAACACCCTTTCTTCTCTATCTGAGCTCTGTTTCCCCCTAGAATGTGTAGCTGGACTCCAGGCCATGGAGCAGAACTCCTGTTACTAATCTCGGCCACTCTTGGGTATTAGTCTCCTATTTTGTTACTTTGTATTCCCCAGATGAATGCAGTCTTTCTATGTCTATCCCTCTCTTTCTTTTTTTTTTTTTTTTTTTTATCAAGTCCCCATACCTCCACCAGTGCCCGTCATCCATCCCAATGGGTCCCAGCATCCCCCCCACCCTCATCCCCCCCCCCCCCCGTCCCATCCTGCCTCTGTGGCAGGGTATTCCCCCTTGTTCTCTCTCTCTTCTTTTGGGTACTGTGTTTTGCAAGAGAGGCTTTGAGTGGCAATCATGTTTGGTCTATCGACTACTTTTAGCATGCTTCTCCCACCCTGGGAGGGCCCTCACAACACCCTTCATTTGGTACTCTCTTCTCTATCTGAGCTTCCTTTTCAATTTGAAAAGGGGTAAAAGACCTTATTTTATTCTTTGATTCTTCTGGTTAATTTTGATATAAAATACTCTTATGTAAATTATTTAAGAATGTCTGATAAAATATATAAAGAGCACATACTGGTTTAATTTTCAGAAGTTATTACCACATTTCTGAGTGTTGATTTATTTCTGGAATAATTTTCAGCTCTAAATCCATGATTTTGAAATCTCCTGATCCACTGGCTTTAAATGCAGCAAGAGCATTAACTAGTTAAACAAGTAACACAAGTTTTATTCCTTTTAGAAGAAATATCAACAAAGATAAAAGCAAAGTGTTACTTTCAAAGTTTGGTTTTTCATTTAAAAATAATATCTTTGAAAATCCCCACTCTGATATGGGCCATTACTACTTAATCCTACTGAGCTTGCAGTTTACAGTATAAGGTGCCACTTCTGGGGTCACGTGCAGTCTTCACTGCAAGACACTGATGGCCAAGAGGAAGCTCTTAGTGTTGGATTGCTTAGAAGAGAATCCTACTAGATAGAAATATAGACCAAAGATTCCAAAACTCCTACTTTTTTTTTTTTTTTGCAGGAGAAAAAAAAAAATCCTCAACTCCCTCCTCTACTGGAAATTGATCTGCTTTAAATCAAGAAAAAAAAGGTGCACAACTAATGCTCCCAGAATTGCCATTGCCTCCTTGGATCATTCCTGTATCCCTGAATTACCCTCTCCGAGAAACAATTCTGAACTTTCTATATATCCTGTTACTCAGTCTCTATATCCTTTTTTTTTTTTGAGTCACAGCTGGCGATGCTCAGGGGTTACTCCTGGTTCTGCACTCAGTAATTACACCTGGCAGTGCTCAGGGTACCATATGGGATGCTGGAAATCGAACCTGAGCCAGTCGCGTGCAAGGCAAACGCCCTACCATCTGTGCTATGGCTCCAGCCCCTCAGTCTCTATATCCTTAAAACCACTGTTTCTGCTTAAAGAGTTAGCGTGGAAGAACTCTCTTCACACATAGCTTAACTTATGACTCAGCATAAGATCTACCACTAAAAAAACTTGAAGAGAGAGTTAACAAACTCTTTTCATACATTTGGAATATCCATCTCTTTAGATCTCAAAAAAAAATAACACTTTTTGTTTTTTCGTTTTTTTACTTTTGGGCCCTATCTGATATTGATGCTCTGATACTCAGGGGTATGCACTCAGGAATGACTCCTTGCAGTGCTCAGGGAACCATACTGGATGCTAGGGATTGAACCCATTTGGACATGTACCCTTGGTCATTTGTCAATTTCCATTTCAGGCACAGCCAAAGATGCCGAGATCTATAACAGCTTATCTGGAGAGAGGAAGTACTGCTTGTAGGTCGCATGTCTTGCATGGAGCTTAACAGGTTTGAACTAAGTCACACTACATGGTCTCCTGAACCCCACCCAGAAGACAACCCTGAGTGCAGAGCCAGGAATAAGCACTAAGCACCACAGGGTTGGGTCTCCCCAAAACCCAAACAAACAAGATTATTCTGGAGAAAGTAAAGTAAAGTAAAGGCCCTCCCGTTGATCGTCGATTTGCTCGAGCGGGCCCAGTAACGTCTCCATTGGAGACTTTGTTGTTACTGTGTCTGGCATATCGAATACTCTCGGTAGCTTGCCGGGCTCTCCGAGAGGGGCGGAGGAATCGAACTCGGGTCGGCCATGTTGGCCGCTTGTAAGGCGGACGCCCTACCCGCTGTGCTATCGCTCCAAGAAATCAAAAAATTCTAAGAGGGCTAAAGTCTCCACATAGAAGGCAGCTTTGTTAAGACTCTGACTTTGGAACTACATACCCCAAGAACCATGAGATGCTTTTAGCCACTAAGTTAAGGAAAGTTTCTATTGCAGACAGTTGGAACAAAAGAGCTTCCAATAAGGAAACATTGGGAAAGACAAGTTAGGAGAGGCTGCTAAAATCAGACGGCTGGAACGAATGGAGACATTACTGGCGCCAGCTCAAATAAATTGATGAACAACGGTATGAGAGTAATACAGTGATACAGTGATCTATTTAGGGACTGCAGCTATAGCACAGCTGGTAAGATATTGCCTTGCATGTCGCCAACCTGGGTTCAATCTCCAGTATCTCACATATTTCCTCAAGCACTGCCAGGAGTGATTCCTGAGTGCAGAGCCAGCAGTAACCCCTGGGCATCTCAGACTATGTGCCCCCCCGCCAGTCAAAAAAGAGTAATTATTTATATAGATACTTCTATCTACCATAAATTTATGTAGATATCTTGGTAGATAATTCTACTGACCATAAATGTCATGAAATTTATATCCCATTAACTTTTGAGTTAATAAAGTAAGGAGTATGCTTCAAAAGATACTAAAAATTAATTTTTTAAACCTAAAAATACCCTAAGGATTTTTTTCTATTAACAGCATCTTGTAGAAATGTAACAACTGTGACAGCACAAACATGAAATGTCATCATTCCAACATACTTGCAATCTAAAGAAAACAGTAATTTGGTAAATCTACTTTGCACTTTAAACAGTTCTTCCTAACTCAGATCACATATTACCATCTGAAAGTGAGCAAGGAATTATTTATTGAGACTTTGAATGTTACTTCAAATGAGCATCTCCTTCACCAAGGTCTCCTCTTTAATTATCTCAGAAATTTAATTTCAAAAATCATATTTTTAAAAAGGCATTTCAAATATTTATGGGTAATAAAACTTCCCAGAGCTGTGGCAGTAAAATATTTTCAATAATCAATAATATGGCATGACTTATTTAATCTTAATAATTTCTAAGTTCTTTTTGACTCGTAATAAAAGCAGACACCTGAATGTAGAACAAAGTACTTCAACGAAGTCCTTACCTGTGTAACGAGTGGCTCCAAAAGTCTTTCCACCGTTAGTGTCCGGATTTCCAAACTTTTGGGGTCCCATTTTAAAATGATAGGTGAAGTTGCCGAAGTCATGTTCTCTACAAGAACACACATCATCAGTTAGAAATAATAATCACTAGAATGCTCTGTTATCTCTACATTAAAAATTAATAAAACATTAAAACTTTCTGAACTAGTATTTGGTCCCATTGCATTAAGCGAAGAGATGGGGAAATCAGGGCAAGAAATGAGTAAGATAATGAACTGGAATCAGATTGAAAACTGAGGGTTCCTTAATACATTAGTCAGGTTTTGGGGACAAGTGGAAATGGAAACGTTTTCCTCACTCAATATTTAGTTCACATATCCATCTGCTATATCCCAGGAAGGAACTTGTCCTTAACAGTTTATGGCTTTAAGATAAGACAGGCATGGCATAAAAATGATGTTTCTGTTGAATAAGAAGTACAGAAAGGGCTGTGAGGGACATGTGTAAAGGACACCAGTCAATCTGGGAAGAATCACAAAGACTCCCCAGAAGCACAATTAACCTGGAGTGGTCACCAGAGAAGAGACCCCATATCATAAGAAAAGATGCCTTTGTTTTCTTCACATCATAATTGGCCACTGCGTATACGACACTCCATACTCCGCGCCTCAGCTAAATGTCTTTGTATTAAATAGGCATGGGTTCTTGCAGACTGAGTGGCAGTGCTTCTCAAAATCAGCCTGCTGCTATTTACATGTGCTCTGATTACTCACTACATTTACATTCTTGTCCCATGAAATTAGTGTCTGATAAGGTGATTCAACTCCACTCTAAAGCAGTCCTCTCCTACCAAGAACCACTGGCATGCAGGGAGCATTCTCTCACCTATCAAACACAAAAATATAGCCCTGGCCTCTACAGAATATATTATACATTCTGGTAGGGCTATCTTGGTTTCTCACCAAAATATTGAGTCCTCTCTTCTGGACATATTTCAACAACTAACCACTGGACAAGCAACTGTAGAATGTACAAACCAATTCTGAGTCATTTTGCTTCAAAACTATCATAAATCAAATTCTGTAGCCATTGTCTTCTTCTGAAACACTGGCCCCTGGATTCCATCGATAACCCTCAATGTAGATGATAATTTCTACTTAAATTAATATCACAAAGCAGGACTATCAAAACCTGCAGGCCCTATTCTAGTTAATTCTTTTGCAAATAGATCCAACAATTTTGCTTTGGGAGCTGGAGCGACAGCACAGCGAGTAGGACGTTTGCCTTGCATGCGGCCAAGCTGGGTTCAATTCCCAGCATCTTGTATCTGAGCACGGCCAGAAGTGATTCCTAAGTGCAGAGCCAAGAGTAACCCCTGTGCGTCACTGGGTGTGACCCCCCCAAAAAAATTTTGCTTGGGGGGAAGTTGGCAAATACATAGTATGCTGGTATTTTACCTCTCTCCAAATGCCATATTTTCCCTAAACTTAGCATAACAATCCAACCATAGACTGATTTAGATTCAGGTTCATTCACAGCAACAATAGTTGGCATGGATATGCTGCCAGTTCTCCAAAGACACTTTACACATTTCTCCTTCATGCTGCCAACCACCACAAGCAGCCCTAACATGGGCAGAATCCTGCTCCTGAGTGGCACACCTTATTGCACTGACTGAAGGAAAACTCTAGACGCTCTCTGTCCTTAGAGAAACCACATCTGCACAAGAGATCTCCATGCAGTGCTTAGAACAACACAGTCATTGTGAGTGTCTGGAGATGTTCCCTGAAAACAGTTTTCAAGATGTGATGGAATGAGTGATGTAAAAGTGGTGATGCACAGAAGGAAAGCTGGAAAAAGTGTCATAAAGTCATTTTCACACAATTAGGAAAGAAACTTCAGTGAGACTGTGCAGAGAAATGTCATTCCTTCATGGGAAGACTTGTGAACATAAACTGCTGGATCAGGAGGACATACGAATTCTTTATGGATGTCCTTATGTGTGACCATAAAGAAAAGACACTACAAAATGCTGAGGTTAGTAACAAAAATGCTGCTACAATCACATTAGAGACATTAATCTTGCACGCATCAAGCAGAAACAGGAGATATTAGATAAAGACCCCAAACCAAGTGTCAGCCAAAAGTAGAGTTAGAGCGAATCTTATGTCCTAGAGGTCAGAGAGAAATTACAAATTTAAAAACAAAAGAACTAGATTACTAAGTAAATCAATGGACATAATTTATTCCTCTGGGAATCAAGCAATTCAATCACATTTTGGAAACAAGCAAGATTCAACAGAAAAATAAGAGGAATAGTTATATAGTACATTTGCTGAAGGGGGGCGGGGCGACCTAGTAATAAAAACTTTGAGTGATCTTTTCTCAACTGTCAGGCAGTTGAACAATTTGTCTTAATATGCAAGTTAATGGGATGGGTTTAAGGGGGGGCGGGGCTACCTAAAAACTACCTTTAAACCCAAAATGTTGATATCTAAGACTCTCATCGAGGGAATGAAGAAATACTTTAGCAGGCAGCTCACTTGCTTTGCATGCAGCCATCCAGGGTTCAATCCCCAGTACCCCCTATGATCCCCTGAGCCACAGCAGGAGTAATCCCTGAGCTCAGAGTCAAGAATCAAGAGTAAGCCCAGGACATCGCCAGGTGGAGGCCAAAACAAAAACATCTGAACAAAAATAGTAAGATAGCCACGAAATTATCTAGCTTCAAGTCTGGTATCAAGAATGAAGTAGAGGAAAGATAATCCTCTAGAAGCAATACTTCTAGATTGTGGTGTAATCTTTGAAAATCTTCATTTCTGGAAATGCTTGCATCCAGCTATTGTGGTATAATTAATTTCTTTGTCTTGTATCTACTAGAACTTACATTTGGTACATTTCTCCATCAAAACCCAAAGCCAACTGAAGTTTCACAAAGAAAGGGGAAAAAATCCATTCGGGTTGTGGTTTTAACCAATATCATGTTGATTCTCTTATTGATGATCTTTTCCTCTAGAGAGCTAGTAAGACCAGAGGACGGCAGAGAAAAATCAAACATTCACTAGAGCACAAATTGGGGTAATTGTAACCAGTAAGCAGGAATGAATGAGAGTTTGTATGTGGACTAACATACTAAGCTAATTGACTCTCAGTCAAAATTTCCATCCTACTTAATTTTAATATGTATCAAAGATGAAGGGCAAATATATACATCTTTAAGGGTAAACTGAAAGCATATTCAGTAAAGAGTCATTCCCTGCCCCCATCCCTCTAGCAACCCCCACATGAAGAAACTACTTCCCCATTCTACCAATATTGGTCTTGACCAGTGTAATGTTAATAAATACCAGATTAAGCGGACATCTAAAATGCACCTGCTTAGTTAGTCTTGTCCTCTTGTGCTGATATATGCTGCAAAGTCACAGATACAAAAAGGCACTTAATCACTTAATCACTTAACTTCCCGTTAGTCGTCGATTTGCTCGAGCGGGCGCCAGTAAGGTCTCCATTTGTCCCTGTCGCGTGCTAGTGTAGCCCAATGGCATCTCTTCGCTCCGGGAACATGGAGGGCCTCAAACCGATCGTTCATGACCTGGACAAAGAAGTCTGACCATCTGGTAGGTGGGCGGCCACGCGGTCTCTTGACATCCCGTGGAATCCAATCAGTAACAGCTCTAGTCCAACGGTTGTCTTTAAATCTCATTACGTGACCAGCCCATCTGATTTTCGACACCTTGGCAAATGAGACAGCGTCCCTGATCCTTGATCGTCGACGGATGTCAGAACTCCGGATTCGTTCTCTCATTTGAGTGAAACGTGATATTCCAAGCATAGCTCTTTCTATTCTTCTTTGGGAGACCTGAATGGCGTTCTCATCTTGTTTGCATAGGGCCCAGGTCTCTGAGGCATATGTTAATGCAGGAAGAACAGTGGAATCAAAGAGATGTGCCCGGAGCCGGAGGTTCTTCGTCCTCTTAGCTATTTCTTCGACGTTCTTGAAGGCGTTCCAAGCTGCTCTCTTCCTCCTGCGCAGCTCGGGTGCCAGGTCATTTGTCATGTTGACCTCTCGACCTAGGTACACATAGCTGTTGCATTCGGAGATGGTCGTTCCATTGAGAGCGAATGGGGCGTCAGGAACAAGGCTGTTTCTCATAAACATTGTCTTCGTAAGATTCAGCTGTAGTCCTACCTTTCCACACTCACGGTCAAAGTCGGCCAGCATTTGTGCCGCTTGGCTGATGTTTGGTGTTATTAAAACAATGTCATCAGCAAAGCGGAGGTGGTGTAGATGCCGACCATCTATCTTCACTCCCATTCCTTCCCATTCCAGTCGTCGCATGATGTTCTCGAGGGTGGCACTGAAGAGTTTCGGTGAAATGGTATCACCCTGCCGCACCCCTCTCTTGACATCAACGATCACTTCTTTGTAGAATGGTGAGATCCTGGTAGTGAATCCGCAATACAGCTCACGGAGGATCCTGATGTATTGGGCTTGAATGCCCTGATTGGCTAGGGCTTCAATGACCGCTTCCGTCTCAACAGAATCAAAGGCCTTCTTTAAATCAATGAACGTTAAGCAGAGCGGCATCTTGAACTCCCGAGAAACCTCAATGAGTTTGGTTATCGTGTGGATATGGTCGATGGTGCTGAATCCTTTGCGGAACCCTGCTTGCTCACATGGTTGTCCTTCATCTAGTGTTCTGCCAATCCTATTCAGGATGACTCGAGTGAACAACTTGTAGATGACAGACAATAGGCAGATCGGGCGATAGTTGCCAATGTCATGGATGTCTCCCTTCTTGAACAGTAGTACGGTCCTGCTGGTTTTCCATTGAGATGGAACCTTGCATTCAGACAGGTAGCGAGTGAAGAGCCGAGCCAGTGTATTGATGAGTACTGACGGCAGGTTCTTCAGGTGTTCAGGTCTGACCTTGTCTGGGCCGGGTGCTGTTTGCTTCTTTACTGACGAAATGGCGTGTCGGATTTCGGAAGGGAGAACATTGGGAACGACATACCCATCCTGTGGAATTTGGTATGTTGGTAAGTGGACATGGCTATCGAAGAGATTTGAGTAGAAGTCATGGATAATCTTCTCCATTGCCGTTCTGG